CTTCACCAGTCCCCAGAGCGAGGTTGGGCCTGGCAGCTGTGCACATCTGCCATCTGTGACGAGGGCTGTGGGACCTGGGCATAGGCTGAGAGTTCCAAAGATCACATCACGGCCTATCCCAAGACCTCCCAGGGCATTGTGTTTTCTAAGATGGGAAGTCGAACAATGGTTATTGGGCAGGAGGGAGTTACTGTTTCGGGGGTGGAGAGCTTCTGTGTGGGACGATGGTGATGGTCACGGAACATGAATGTGTTCGATGTATGCCTAAAAATGGTTACAATGACAAATTTTATATATACTTTATTTTTATTTTTGAGACAGGGTCTCCCTATATAACCCAAACCTGGCCTTGAACTTGTAGTAATCCTCCTGTGTCGGTCCCCCAAGTGCTGGGATTACACATATGGAACACCTCAGCCCCAGCTACCACAGACTTTTTTTGTTGTTGTTGTTAGAGTTTTTAAAATGTATTCCTTAAGGCCAGACATGGTTGATGGTAGGGTGTGTAGCAGCATCCTGACCTGTATTCCCTAGCTGCCAACATGTGACATGTGATAACAAAATGATCTCCAGCCATATTGCCAAATGTCCTGAGGGGCAGCAGTAGTGTTTCCCTAGCCAGGAACCACAGCTGAACCCTGCTCAGAGTGTGTTGCCCGAAGCAGAGGCTGAGGGGGGTTCTGGGTAACAAGGAAGCAGGGGAAAGTTGTCTTGAGATTGGATAGGGTCTTGTGTGGCTGGAGGACAAAGGCCAGCAAACTCTGAGAACTTCTAGAGGTGAATGTCACAGTGGACTCTACCCGTCCTCAGGGCCAGGTTGAGCCCAGCAACTGTCCATGTGATGAGGACTGGGGGCATAGGCTGTGGGCAGGGCTTACAGACCCAGAATGGGGAATGCTGGGTGGAGAAGGCAGACAGTGGCAAAGGGACTGATTTTGACTGAAATCTGGGATCTGAGCGTCACAGTTTCCAGAGTGTTCCCACAACCCCAGAGGAAGAGAAGGTACTCGATACTACTGTTACTTCTCTCATGCTGTCATCGGAGCTGTGGTCAGTGTCTCCTAAGATGGCCAGCAGTGACCAGTGGGATGTCTATCTCCTTCAGAGGCACTGTCAAAACTAAAGCAAACAGCGGTAGCTGGCGTGACACTTGCATCTGGCATGGCAGCAGGGGCCCAAAGCTCCCTCTGGACTCTGAGCTGTGCATTTGCCCTTTTAACTAGTCTTTACCATTAATGAAGCAATTGGGAATATTTATGGAGCGCTGTTGGGGTCCTGCTCTGTGTCCAGCTGACTCAAACCTAGTCCCCTTGTCCCAAGAGTCTAGGAGCATAGGGACGGGGAGGGGAGGGCACTCAGGCTAGAGGAGCCAGTCTGGCTGCTTGAAATGATCCTTTTAGTGAGCTTCTACCTCCTCCCCCCAAACTGGAAAACTACTTCTGCCTGTTGATGGCAGACCTGATTCCTTCCTCTGGGTAGCTCCCAAGAGTAGATTTCCTCTGCCCAGTTACCCAGGTCCCAATAGCTCTTGGGAGGGGCTGTGCTTAGCCTCAGGGGCTGGAGGGTAAGGAAAAGCAGGGGTTTGCTACAGTGTAGGAGTCATGAGTTCCCTTGAACCCAGGTCAGTGGCTGACTTACTACTTATCAGAACCACAAAAGGAAAAGAAGTGGGGTAGTCTGGGGATGTTGCCCAGTGGGTAGAGCACTTGCCTAGCATGCCCGAAGCCCTGGGTCCCACCCCAGCATTGGATAAACTGAGCACGGTAGTGCATGCTTGTAATTCTAGCACTCAGTAGGGCAGGTGGTGGGGAGGTAAGCCTGGACTAGGTAAGAGCAATCTCAAAAAAACAAAACAAATTAGGAACCAGAGAGTCAAGTGGTAGAGGGTAGCATGGTTAGGAAGAGAGCTTGGGGGTGGTAGTGGGGCTGGAGATACAGCTCATTGGCAGCCTTTGCCTAATACATGCAAGGAAGGCTCTGGGTTTAATCCCTGGCACTAAAAGGGAGTGGGAGGGGTGTGGATCAATGGAAAGGGGTAGGGCCTTCAGCCGCGGAGCTGATCCTACCTAGGCTTACAGCTGTGTGGTAGGGTCCCGTCCCTTTATCTACCCGTGTACTGATTCCCACTGCTGGGTGTATCTGATGCTACTGCAGGGGGCAGGGGGGTCCTCGTGACAGGGCTGCTGGACAAGCACCTATGCAGTGTGATTGATTGAAAGACTGTGTGGCTAGGCAGAGAACCCGGGGCTAGGTGCTAGAATCTCAGAGCTAGCACTCCTGGCTCCCTGGGCTGTGGAGCTGGCAGTAACAGGAAGTGAGTCCTTGGGTAAGGAGGTCATGTGGTCCCCAGACAGGAAGCAAGCCTCTGTGGGATGATGTCACACAGCTCTGTCAGGCAGCAAGTGACTAAAAGAGAGAGCAATCGTTGAGAGATTGGCTCTGTCCAAGTGTGGCCTGTGCCTACCTCCGTGTAGTGCATGTTGACCTTGCTGTACTTGGCACCACTGGTTCCTGGAAAGTGTCTACCAGGGCAGCGAGGCATGTCCATCTCTCATGCATGACACAGCCTTGCAGGGTGACACTCAGACACAAGGGAGGTGCACATTGCTGTCTTAGTCCTGGGGTGGGGGTTAAAGCAAGTGGGTGGTCATGTTTGCTCGCTCCTCTTTCCTTCGTGTACCTGCCTAGCAGCCTGCAAGGCCTGTGGAGGCCTTCTTCCCACCAGGCACTTCCTCTCCCATGCTGCAGCCTTTCAGAACCCTGAGCTGCCGAGGCATGCAGTAATGCATCTCCTCACCACTTTCTGTTTCCCAGGTGAAGAGCCTGTGACATAGACTAGTAGTCTGGGAAAGCAACCAGGCCAGCTGCTGGGATCCTCGGGAGGTGGCACAGTCAGGCAACACTGAGTTTGCTGTTCTTTCCCAAAGCCTTGTTTGGTCCTTGTTTGCTACTCTCAGCGGTCCTCACCAGGTAGCAATGGGCCCACAGTTCCCATCCTAGACCTGAACTGGAGGCTGTGAGGTAAGGGGCCAGCAGTTTGTGCCTCTCAGGATATATGCTGGTGCTATAGCCTTTTAAAAAGGAGTTTACACTTAGCCCAGCCAATCCTCCAGGGACTGCCATGCAGACATGCTTGGCCTTAGAGAACTGGAAGTAATGGGGCTCCCTACAGCAGGAAGCAGATAGATCAACCTCAGTACCAGTGTCTGGAATGAGGCACAGAGTATCTGCCAGGCAGGAGTCAGAGCCATATGCATGGGTATGGAGAGATGCCACTGCTTATCAGGGAAGAAGTGAGCTGTAGAACATTGTGTGTAGCACGATAAAAACACGATCTTGGATCTCATTGTGTGTGTGAATATGTGGGTAAATTCGTAACTTACATGCGACTGCCAAAAGTCTAAAAAGGAAGTCCAGCCCTTTGGCACATGCCTGTAATCCCAGAACTTGGCATGCAAAAGCAGGAGGACCAGGACATCAAGGCCAGCCTCACATACATAGCTTGTTTGAAGCCAGCCTAGGCTATATGAAACCTAGTTTTATTTCATTTTTAGAAATCATTTCATATATATATATGAGTGTTTTTCATGATCACCATGTACATGGCTGGTGCTTTCAGATGCCAGAAGAGAGACTGGACCCCCTGGGACTGGAGTTACAGTTGTAAGCCACCATGTGGTTGTTAGCAATAGAACCTAGGTCCCCTGCAAGAGCCATCAGCCACTGAGTCATCTCTCCAGCCTGTGAATGAAACAGAAAGTCTAAAAAGGCCTGCAAAGGTTGCAGAGTGCCTACCTAAGGCAGGGACCCTGAGTGAGCCAAGCACCTCCAGTTTGCCAATGTTCTGACCACTTGCTACAATGAGCAAGAACAGATCACACTCAAACACACACACACACACACACACACACACACACACACACACACACACACACACACACACACACACACACACACACACACACACACACACACACACCCTTCCTTACAGGGACAGGGGATGAAGCAGCCTCTTGTCTTGCCCAGCAGGCATGGAGAAGCCTATGCCCAGGGCATTTGCTGCCCAGGCTGGAGACTACTTGGGGCCTTGGTGAGCCTGGGTCTGAGAACTTATGGGGGTCTGATTTGAGGACAGAGAGCTGTGATTCTAGCTCGGGTCCAGAGAATGCTTCTTAGGGAGGACTTTCTTTGTCACCCTGCCTCTGCCCCTGCCCCTGTGAGAGTGGTGGAGGAAAGCTATGAGCAAGGAAGTCAGGCCAGCTTCGAGGCCTCTGGAATTGATCTGGTGGCATTGGAATTTCCTGAGGAAGGGGCCAGTTTCAATGATGGAGCATGAGGAAAATTTTTATTTCTTGTTATTTTTATTTATTATGTTCATCTGTGTATGGGCACACACACTGTGTGTGGAAGTCAGAGGACAACTTTGCAGAATGGGCTCTCTCTGCTACGGGAACTGAATTCAGGTAACCAGGCGTGCAGAGCAAGCACCGCTACTTACAGAGTCCTCTCGCCAGCTTTTAGTTTTGTGTCAGAGTCTCACGTAGCCTTGGCTGCTCTCAAACTCAGAATGTAGATGAGGATGGCTGTAAACTCCTGATCACCTGCCATTACCTGCTGAGTGCTGGGATTACAGGTGTGCACCACCATTTCTCGTTTACACAGCACTGGGTACTGAGCCCAGGGCTTCATGCGTGCTAGACAAGCATCCTACCAGATGGGCTACATCACCAGCTGCAGGATCATTGGCTTAGAAGTGGGAAGCCAGAGGAGTCTTAGTGAGTTGGGGTGCAGGGGTATCCCTGGGGTGTCGGGACCGGACCCACCTGCTTGACTTCCACAGTTCCCTTAGTCCTCTAATGTTGACAGCATACCTGTGACTACATCTGCTTGCATGGAGACATGCATGAAGGCACAGTACACACAACTTTCATTAGAAATTCAGAAGAGGGTCTGTGACTCAAGGGTCTAGTCCTTACATTTTTCTGTTTTCATATTTCCAGGTGGAAAGTAGTGACACACCCAAGGACTCTGCCGTGACTAGCAAGTCTCAGCCCATGGCCCAGGACTCTGGCTCCTCAGATCTGTTACCCAATGGAGACTTGGAAAAGCGGAGTGAACCCCAACCTGAGGAGGGGAGCCCAGCTGCAGGGCAGAAGGGTGGGGCCCCTGCTGAAGGAGAGGGAACTGAGACCCCACCAGAATCTTCCCGAGCCGTGGAAAATGGCTGCTGCACAACCAAGGAGGGCCGGGGAGCCTCTGCCGAAGAGGGTGAGTCCCAGCTGAAGGAAACCTCTTCTGGACCCTTTGAGACCCTGCGAGTCATAGACTTGGGTCTGTGGCAGGTTTCAGGATGGGCAAAGGTGGGAGCTGACCATCTGCTTGCCAAGGCAATGGTCTAGAAGCCACTGGATGAATACAGCCTGTGTACATGTGTACTTGGCCCACCTAGTGTGCTAAACAGTTAAAAACATTAGTTGCCAGTGTCTAAAAAAATTCAAGAAATTCCACATGAAAATCTGGAGTTTTGGCTCTTCATGGGGGAAAAAGAGCTGGCTCTGGCAACAGGCAACAGTGGGTTTGCGTAATGCCAAGGGATGCTAAACTGGGGTAATAAGTGCCCCCCCTTCTTTCTGTGCTGGTTGTGTGCCTCAGTTTCCCTCCACTGTCAGCTGGCCTGCTTGTTCTTACACATGACCTGCCTAGACCCATGAGGAACACAGGTGCCATGTCTACCTATCCCACTGCAGAGAACCTACATGGCATACTGTAATTTGGTTGACTCCATGGTAAACTTCCACCATGTAAATTGTGACAGGAGACACTGAGGGCTGAAGGAGGCCGTCTGTGCACTGCCCTGCTCAAACCTCTCCATCTGGGGACTTTGTGGCCTAGCCCTAGAATTTTGGAAAGTTGCCCATTTTTTTCTTTCAGGTTAAGCCAGAGATTTCAGGGCCAAGCAAGCTGTAAACAAGTGAGTAATGAGGACAGCTAGCATTTGTACCGGGCCTCACAGTTTACATAGCGCCTCCTGCTCCATTATCACATTTGATCCTCCCGGGCCCTGCCAGGTTGTTTTGCATATGTGCATTTTAATTTCAAAAAGTCTTCCTTCCAAGTGTGTATGATGGAATGAGTAAATTGATTAATTGGCATAACTTATTTTGCACGAATCCAAACCTAATATTTATGCAGAAGAGGGACTATTTCCAGAAAAGAGGTTTCCGAGCTTATTTTGAAATATCTTCCATTCATTATTCAGCAAATATTTGTGATGCTCCACCATGTGCAAAGCAGGCTCTGCGGCACTCTGCATTTGTTCCTCTATTTGCTCTTTCAAATGATCTCGTTTAGGAGGCATTTCTAGCCCCGTTCTAAGTCTAGGAAGAAAGTTCAGCTTAGAAAGTAACTTGCTTATGCCTTCACACCTGGCCTCTGGCCTCTGATACTTCTTTGTTGTTATTATTGTTGTTTTAGCCCTAGCTGTCCTGGAACTCACTATGTAGACCAAGCTGGCCTCAGACTCAAATATTACCTGCCTCTGCCTCCTGAGTGCTGGGATTAAAAGCCTGGGCCATCACTGCCTGGCCCCAACCTTAACTTGAGCCTACTTCTTCCACCTCCCGAGTTCTGGAATCCTACCCCATGCCCATTTTGTTTATTTATACTGTTTGGCGTGTGTGTGTGTGTGTGTGTGTGTGTGTGTGTGTGTGTGTGTGTCACTTGAGCATGCCATAGCATATATATGGAGGTCAGAGGGTAACTTGGTTCTGTTTTCTCCTTCCAGCATGTAAATCCTTGATATGGGGATCAAACTCAGACTTAGATTTGGCCACAGGCACCTTTATCTGCTGAACCTTCTTGGCTGCCCATCCCTGTTTTTGTGTAGTTTGGGGATTGGACCCAGGGAATTGAAGTTCATCCATGCTGGGTGAGCACTGTACCAATCAAGCTAACCCTCTAGCAGGATTGGTAAACTTTTGCTTCTGGGCCTTTGCTCTGCCCTGGTGCTCTCTCTGTACTGAGTGGCTCTCTAGCTCTCCAGGTCTCAGAGGAGTATTGGGAGAGCTTGAGAGGAAGGAGGAGGAAGAGAGATACTTCCCTGCAGTTCATAATTACAGGTATGCAGGAGAGTTCAGTGCCTTTCTTAGCCAGGTGCTATGTTTCTGTGACTCACCTTTGGAATGCTGGGGTCACACCAATGCAGGTGCCCAGAGACAGGCCCAGGGCAGTCCCTGTGGCCAGGCAGGATGGAGCCAGAGCTCTAAGGCTGCTCTTTGACCTTGAGGGTTTGTTTAAGGGTTTCCCTGTCTGCATTCTAGTTCTTAAGCACTCAGTCAGCCAATGAGTGTTCATTAAACATGTTAGGTGTGTGCCAGGTCCTGTACCAGCCTGTGAAAACAGTCCTGAACAGAAACCTGGCTCTTGTCCTCAAGGATATCACAGTTGGCTACAGACTCTGCCCTTTCAGGTATGTCATTAGGGCTAGACATGTAGCCCTAGGTTTAACCCCCAGCATTTCACTAACTGTCATGGTGTCTAAATCTGAGGACTTGGGAAAGGATGGAAAGTCAGGAGTTCAAGGTCATTCTCTGCCCATCAATTTTTAGGCAAGCCTCCTCTCTCAGAAACAAAACAAAATAATAACAAAGCCAAATGTGCTGTTACACACAGAGGACAGTGCTCCTGGGGTAAGGAGGAGTGTTGTGAGGAACTGGGACATCAGGGCCTAAGCTGGTCCCTACTATTCTGTTGCCCATCATGTAAGAGCCGGGGGCACAAGATAGCAAGAACAGAATGGCTCCGAGGTGAGAGAACAGGGGACCATGGACACCTGACAGGACAGAAGCCACCAGGGGGAAGGATGTGTCGGAGTCAGTGGCAGGCCAAAGGAGGCTTTCGAAGCTGCCTTTTCAGGGCTGACTTAACAGGTTGTGACTGGAAAAGATGACTTTCCGTGTAGATTCCCCAAGGGTTCAAAAGGGCTGGGAAGTGGGGTGAGAAATTAGGGGGCTGCAGCAGGCATGGGGAGGAAGCAGTCTGCTCTGATAAGCAAAATGGATCCAGAGAGATCGAGGGAAGTGAGCAAACCCCCAGTCTAAGAGGTAAAGAAACATCAAAGAATTGATAAACTGGGCTGGGAACTTAGAGATGAGTCTGAGCATAATAGGTGGACACTCGGGCTCAACTTCCATTTGACCTTGGGGGCATTCACTCCAGAGTGACCCTAGCTATCCAAGAGAGGTGTGCAGTGGCCTCCTGGAGGCTCTGGCCTGTGTGTTGCTGTATGGAGGCTGGCCCTGCTACAGCAGTCAGCTGACAATGCATGCTCAGATGAGGAAGGAAGAGGCTCAGCCATAGGGCCCCTCCTTCCAAGGCTCTTTTCAGAGTTGTAGTTGGAATTTTCTTTGGGCCACTAGCTCACAAAAAAAAAAAAAATGACATGGAGACTTATTAATTATGAAAGCTCAACCTATAGCTTAGGCTTGTCCCACTAGCTCTTATAAGTTAAATTAACCCGTTTCTATTCATCTACCTGCTGTCATGTGGCTCATGGCTTTTGCCTCTCCTGCCTCTCCTGTCTTGCTCCCTCTGCATCTGCCTTTCTTCTCCCAGAGCTCTGTCTGTCCAGAAGTGCCTGCTATACCTCCTGCCTAACTATTGGCCATTTAGCCTTTTATTAAACCAATCACAGTGGCATGTCTTTACACAGTGTAATCAGATATCTGGAAATAGAGTTCCATCTATCCTTCCTGGAAACCATCATGCCTGTCTCTACTGTAATGTGCTCTACCCTTACCTCCCAGTGGTCCGTGCCAGCTTTGTCTGTAGTACCTAGGAAGCCAAGATGCAGACTCTTTAGCTCCACCTTAGAGATCCTCATGTTGACTTCAGCCTTGTGTCACATGAGGAAGACCTTACTGTCTGTGCTTTTCTTACGGGGAAGAAAGTAGGGATACCAGTTATACACTTGTAGTCTCAGAACATGGTAACTGGAAGCAAAAGGATCAGAAGTTCAAGGCCATCCTCAGCTACTTAAGGCACTGGAGGTCAGACTGGGATTCGTGAAGCCTGGTGACAGAGGAGTGGGTGAGGGTCAGCAGAAGGCTACTCTGCTCACACCGAGCATGGGGACAAATATGGGCTAGTAATGGTGCTTATAATAAATCTGGCGTCTTGGGTCAGAGGGATGGCTCAGCGGTTAGGAGCACTGACTGCTCTTCCAGAAGAGCCGGGTTCAATTCCCAGCAACCACATGGCAGCTGTGACTGTAACTCCAGTTCCAGGGGATCTGACACCTTCACACCAATGCACATAAAATAAACAAATTGTAAAAAAAAAAAAAATTAGAAAACAAAACAAAACCTAAAGCTATTGACTCAAGTCAAGGTGTCAAACTTAAAAAAAAAAAAAAAAAAAAAAGTCTGGCATCTGCCCTGTCACCGGGGTATTATCTCATTGTAAAGAGAATTTGGGGTGCTCCTTGCTGGATAGCACTAGAAGCTCCTGATGCCCCCCTGTCCCCAGGACCTGAGGTGTCTTGGAGTCATGTATCTATCCTCCAGAGTCACTCTGGAAGGCACTCAGCCACGTGGCTCTGGGACTCTGGGTCTGTGTCAGTGCAGACGGGCTGCAGAAGGAGCCCTCAGAGAGCCGGTGACCGGTGACTGCCCAGCATTCTATGACAGCTAGTCTGCTGGCCAGGATGGAGAGAGGAAGAGAGAGAGGGGGGAGAGAGAGAGAGGGGAGAGGAGAGAGAGAGAGAGAGAGAGAGAGAGAGAGAGAGAGAGAGAGAGAGAGAGAGAGAGAACGCGCGCGTGCGTGTGACTGAGAGAATGAGCACTCACGTGGGCATGCGCAGTCTGTTGGGGAGAAAATTCCAGAAAGAAGCCAGTTGGAAACTGTTTCAGGAAGTCTCCATTCGGGAGACCTTGGGGGCTGTAGCACTGGCAAAGGAAACAAGGAATAGTGGTGGTAGCGCACTTGGGAGTCAGGAGCCCTGAAATCGGATTACAGCTCTGCTCACCCGGTCTCAGTTTTCTCGTGTAAAGCATTCTGCAAACAACCATATCTGATTTTCAGTTCAGATTTTCTAGTATTCTAATAAACAAATCACTCCTGGTAAACGTAATCAAAAGCCAGTGTGTGTGTGTGTGTGTGTGTGTGTGTGTTTGCGTGTGTGTGTGTGTTGGGGAGGGGGTTTATTCAGGAAACTCCGAGGTCCAGTAGACAGTCCAATAGCGTGGGCCGGCTTAGGGGCCTGGCTCACCACCTTTAGCTGTTGCTGCATGGCTGCAGCAGCTGTTGCAGTCTCAGCAGGAGCATGGAATGCGATCCAGGGCAGGCGCCCCCTTCTGGCAGCCTGGCTCCTGGGCCGAGAGCCTGGGGGCCTGAGGGAGGAGCCAGCCCCTGAGGTGGGAGGCCCAGGGCAGGCCTGAGGGGGGAGCCCCGTGGAAAGTGGGGAGCAGATTGCGGTGGGAGAGAGGCCGTGGAGGAAGAGCCGGAAACATGAAGGGTGAGACATGCCTTAAAAGACCAACCACGTACCTACTGTGCTGGGAGGGCTCACGCCCCCACCCGTGGGTGACAGCCACCACGCTCTTCCCACACAGCGGCTCCTCGAGGCCCAGTGACACGCCTGCCTCCCACGGGGTCCACAGCCCACGGGGTGTTCCCGCAGGGGCCCTGCCCCCCCTGCCTCCCCCCCACCCCTGTAGATGGGAGCCACACACACACACACACACACACACACACACACACACACACACACACACACACACACACACAGCCCTCCCTGCCTCCCCTCACCCTGTGGATGGGAGCCAGATACCCACACACACACACACACACACACACACACACACACACACACACAAACAAACACACAAGTCGGGGCGCTCTGGGCAGGTGCAGAGGAGCTCCAGGTTGTGTCTGGTAATAGGAAAACATCTAGGCTAAAAATTCAGAGCCCTAAAATGCTGCCAGTGGTTTCCGCTCCTGAGTTAGGCGATGCAGCAGGGGCTGTTTTTTCCGTTTGGGGCTCTTTGTCTCCGTACCCCCCTCCCCTTACACACCATGCTACATGAGCCTACCTTAGTGACCTTCCTGCTCTGGGGCCAAGCCCTGTATTTTCTCAACTTCAGAAAAAGGCATTCAGGCGGCACCCGGGTGAAAGGCGACTGAATTCTCCCCTCTTGCTAGGAAAAGCCATACAGCTGGCTGCAGCGGGGCTGGTTGGGAGAGGAACCAGGCCGGCAGGCAGAAGCGGAAAGGAAGATTGTAGCTGCCCTCATGTCGGGCCTAGAGAAGCCCAGAGTCCTTCCCAAAGATGGCGCTGTGGGGACTGCTGCTTCCAGCCCAGCTGTCCCTCCCTGGAACAGGAATCAGTGCCCAGTCCAGGAACTTTGAGAAAAGCCAAAAGAACAGACAATTGTGTGCTAGAAGGAAAGAGTCCTGGGTGGGGGTGGGGGTGTTATGCTGACATGTATTGAGAACCAACTGTATGCTAAGCCCTGCTCCATGCACGCATTGCTCACACCAACCTTTAGAACTTATACATCACTTTATTGGTGAGGAAACAGCAGAGGCTAGGGGGTCATTCTGAGGTAGTTAGAATCCAGACTGATCTTGGTGACCTGAGAATAGGCCAGGAAGTGGGGGACAGTTTACATGTTAATAATAGGGCCATACTATTTAGATCTGTTTATAGTGAGGAGGGACTCACAAAAAATACAGTTGTGTCACTGGGGTCTAGTCTAGCTGGCCCATTGTCCACGTCTGGGCACCCTTTCCTACCTCACACAAAAACTTGAACAGCCTGGCTTCTTCAGCCCGGCCCCTGTTCTGCCCCTCACCCCCACCCCTACCCCTGCTCCTTGCTTTGAAGGAGGGCTAGAGCCAGCAGGGGATGGGGGCTTCTTCCAAGCCCCTTTTGTGTACCTGAGACCAGGGTCCATGGGCCAGAAACCATGCCTCTGACTTTCCTCTTACTCCTATGTTCTTGGGCCTGGAACCTGGGCCAGGACCTCTCTCTGCTTCATTGTTCTGGGTCCTTGGAGCCAGCCTGGTACATGGTAGGCCAGCATGGATGACACAAGAATAAACACATGCTAGGAGGCCCCCGGGCTCCTCTGAGCCACCCGTGTTCTTCCTTTTCCACAGGCAAAGAACAGAAGCAGACCAACATTGAATCCATGAAAATGGAGGCAAGTGTTTTCCTCACCCCCAGGGGCTCTGTGGATCCTGATTCTAGAAGAAAGCCACCTCTCTGACGGACTGTGGCGAGTGTGTGTGAGGGGGGCCCGAGGGTGGGTCCCTGCCCCTTCTTTGGTGTCCCTTTGTGAGGAGAGGAAGTGGGGGTGGAGGTTGGAAGTCCCCTAGTCAGGCAGCCAGCTCATCCCCCCTCCAGAGACCAAACACTTCCCCTCACTGCCTTGTTCATGTGTCTCAACCAACTTGGAATCCCTCCTCAGTATTCTGGGGTTGACCCTTCTGGCCAGGAGCCAGAATTTCTATATTCTGTCTGGGATGAGTGGCCCCCCCGCTCAGTTTCCCCTCCAGGAGGGGTAAACCCTGCAGGGGTATCTGTGCCTACCTTAATGCTTGTCTGTCTTCTGTCCTAGGGCTCCCGGGGCAGACTGCGGGGTGGCTTGGGCTGGGAGTCCAGTCTCCGTCAGCGGCCAATGCCAAGACTCACCTTCCAGGCAGGGGACCCCTACTACATCAGCAAACGGAAACGGGACGAGTGGCTGGCACGTTGGAAAAGGGAGGTGAGATGCCTTCTATCCTTGGTGCCAAGTGTGAGATCTGCAAACCAGAATTCAGTTCTAACTGCTCTCTGGAACTCTTGTCAGACTGTAGCCAAGACTGTTTTCCCCTGGGGTTAACTCAGAGAATTTTCCATAAAACTGCTATTAGGCAGTAGGTGGGGTTTTGCTGTGAATGAGGTGTTTGTGCATGTGGCACTCCTGCCCATGTGCAACTGATGCTCTGGTGGGCGAGAAGGACAAAACTGAAGGGCCTGAAGGCTCAGTGAGGCCTGGGTGGCGTCTCTATTCTCAGAGTGTCTAGGTGTGGACAGTGTTCGTGGAGAGAAATGCCCCAGGTGCAAGTGGCAGCAGTGGAGACAACTTTGGCTGGATTTCAGTGATGGGGTCAAGAGCATGTTGATGGAAAGGCCAGAGATCTGCCATAGCAGTGGCAGGGTCACTGTCTAATCTGACCTGGACACAAGGGGACATCTGTGCTGTTTGCTCTGGTGGGAGGAATAGTTAGTTGTTGGGATCAAGAGTTCAGAGTTTGGTGCCAAGGAGGTGCAAGAAAGACAAGATCTGTGGAGCCTACTCTGTAGAGGGCAGAGAGCAGAGAGTGGAGCCTCAGAATTTCCTGTGTGGAAATGCCAAAGTTTTTGGGCCAACAAGAAAAGAGCTACACCTGTGGGCTTGAGAGGGGCCACAGGGGACCAGGAGAAAAGTGTGTCTGGGAGACCTGGTTTCTTTAGACAGTGGCTGCACTGGGTGGGGGTATGCCCCACACTGGTCAAGCCTGAGGGAGCTGGTGCCTTTCCTGAGACACCTCTGTGGTATTTAGGAGGGAGCTGGAGGCAGCCCAGGGCTGCAAAGGGAAAGGAGGTGGGAAGCCAGATAAAGACCTAGGTGGCCATCAGCCCTCTAAGCTCAGCTGTGGGAAGGGTGGGTTGTGGGCACCACTCTCGTGGGAACAGAGAGGAAGCAGGGTCTTGACCTCAGGCTATTTGACAGTGTGTGCTGGCTGGCCCTAGAGAAAGTTCCAAGCAAGGAGGAGGGGACATGGTTCTGGCTGCTGTATTGAGATCCAGGAAGGCAGAAGTCATCCTTCTGAAAGACGAGAGAAAGGGCCTGGCCAAGATCTGAGAGGGGCACCTTTAGCTGAGACTGGGGTACACCTTCAGGGAGTGAGCTGCTCTCTTCTCCTGGGATCCTGGGACTCACAAAGGCTCTGTGTGTGCTTCTGCTGCTGAGCCCTGAGTCACAGGTGCTGAGGTGATGACCTGGGTCTGGTCTCCCTCAAGGAGCACGTATAGGTCACCCAAAGGCATAGTAAGAAGAGTTTATCCCACTCCCAGAAAACAAAGCTCCATTTTTCTCAATTTTAAGCTTCTGATAAAACTTTAAAAGATTTGAATGGTCAAGTTGGCCCCAGCCAGTAAGGGAACTGAAGTTGTCACTGATCCTGTCAACTTCAGTTTAGTCTCCATCTCCCATACAGGTGCTGAATACCCACAAACACACACATATAAATAAATAAACAAGTGTAAGTAACAGTTTGAAAATTTAAACTCAGAAAGTTTAGTAGGTGTAAAGTAGGTGTCATGGTACACACCTATAATCTCAGTATTTGGGAGATTGAAGAAGGAAGATACAAGTTTGAAGCCAGCTTGGTCTGTATGTCACCACATAGTTCAAGATCCCACACCACCCCCCAACACACACACAACAAGCCCCGGTCTCCCCAAAACAAAAATAATAAGTTAGGAGCCAGGTGGTGGCGGCGATGCACTCGGGAGGCAGAGGCATGCGGATCTCTATGAGTCTGAGGGCAGATCTCTGTGAGTTTGAGGCCAGCCTGATTACAGGGCTAGTTCCAGGACATCCAAGACTTTTTATACAGTGAAATCCTGTAGTTGTTGGTATTATACTCTTTTGGCTCTTTACTCTTTGCTTTTGGGGAACCCAACACCTATCTCCCAAATAAATCATACAAGGAGGCTTATTCTTAATTATAAATGCTTGGCTTGTTTCTTGCCAGCTTTTCTTAATTTATCCCATCTACCTTTTGCCTCTGGGCTTTTATCTTTATCCCGGATACTTTTCTTTCCTTCTTACTCCATGGCTTGCTGTGTGGCTGGGTAGCTGGTCCCTGGAGTCCTCCTCCTCCTTCTCTTCTTCCTAGATCCTCTCTCCCCAGATATCTTCTATTTAGTCTCCCTGCCTGCCAGCCCCACCTATCCTTCTCCTGCCTTGCTACTAACCATTTAGCTCTTTATTAAACCAATTAGGTGTTTTAGACAGGCAAAGTAACATAGCTTCACAGAGTTAAACAAATGCAACATAAAATAATGCAACACATCTTTGCATCATTAAACAGATGTTCCATAGCATAGAAAAATGTAACACATCCCAAACTAATATTCCATAACAAACCCTGCCTTGAAAAATAACAAAACAAACAAACAAACAAAAAGTTAGGAACTTTGGCTAGGTGTGATGGTGCATGTCTTTGAGTCCAGCTCTCAAGAGGCAGAGGACAGTGGGTTTCTCTGAGTTCAAGACCAGCATTATCTACCTAGGGTGTTCCAGGCCTACACTGTCTCGGAAAATAAAATTAGGAACATTTGCTAATATATACAGACATGGAATGAGAAATTTATTATATAATATATACATATATTTATACATATATATCTACATCTATCTATTTCAGTATCTCTATATAAGCATGTGTCTGTTACCTGCTTAAGCAATTATCAAAAGTTTTTTTTTTTTTCCTAGTGAGTCTGCTAGATTTGGGACTTGGCTTTCCTACCCTAACCAACACAGATCCCACTGATCTTTCAGTGTTAACAGAAAGGTGGGAAATACTGATTCAGTTTGAACTGTTGGGAGTTACTATGACTTGCAGTGTGGAGATCTCAGAACAAAATGTACTTCTTAGCAATAAAATGAACTCTGTGACTTCTAGTGCAACTAGGTCTACAGATCTTTTAAGCTGTAACTACACATCCTTTGATCCTTGACTGGCCACGAACTCCCAGGACAGGTGGGGCCAGGACACAATTAGAGTCTGGGTTTCCTAATCTTAAAGAGTTTAGCTCTAATGGCCACACCCCACCAGGGGACAGGGAAGGCCTAACTGCTGGTAAAACACAGGTAGCTTTCCAGACTACAGAACAGGACTGAAGCTATCGGGCCCACTGTCTTTTTTTTTTTTTTAATTTTTTAAAGATTTATTTAATGTGTATGATTTATCTAATGTTTTGCCTACATATGTGTCTGTTCATCATATGTGTGCCTGGTGCCCACAGAGGTCAGGAGGGTATGAGGTCCTTTAAAGTTATGGATGGTTACAAGCCACCACGTGGGTGTGGGAACCGAACCTGGGCCTTCTTTAAGAACAGGTGCTCATGACTGCTGAGCTAGCTCTCCAGCCCCCTCCCCCAAGGCTCACCTTTCTTGGTTTGGGTAGTTGGTTGGAAGGGGGGGCGAGTATTTGTTTTTGTTCTTTGCTATGAACGCCTGGTTCTCCTGCCTCTACCTCGAAAGTACTGGGATCACACGTGCATGCCTCTGGATTCACCTTCATTTCCCTAACTACCTGCCCTCCCCGCACCTGACCACACACCCCCACACCCTCCATACCACAACTGTACCTGCTTCCCAGGCAATGCTGCCAGCAAACATTTTCTATAAGGATGGGCTGTAATACTCATCCATGCTTTAAAACGTCCTTCAGGCATATTGTGAGCCCTCTGCCAGAAGCCCTGTGAGCTCAGTGGCCTAAAGAAAGTACTCTCAGCAAGAGCTCGGAACAGACCTCAGACTAACTCACCAACAAGAGGCCGCCTTGGCTTTTTAGAGGATGAACTGGAATTTCTGGGATGAGAGGGAAGCATTTCAGAAAGACCGCTTCAGCTGTGAAGTTTCCAGGCCTTTTCAGGAATGGAAGTGTGCGGCTCAAGTTTGTGTACCCTGCTGGAAGTTCCCACTAACTCCCCACCCTGGATCTCCCCACCTAGGAGGACCTTTTCATCCCAAAAGCCCCTTTCCTGGAGGTAGGGAGGTAGCCCAGTTGGGAGAGAACTTGCCCAGAAAACATGAATCCTTGACTTCAGTCTCAGTTTCGCATACAAATAAGAAGCTCCCTTGGTAGCCCAGATTCCCTTCCTCCACCCTTGTCAGTCACTTCTCAGCTATTAGGTAAGATCCATACTTTTTACCTGCCCAAGATTAATTCCCGAAGGTGGTGCATGCCTTTTGTCCCAGCATTCAGATGATTAAGGCTGGTGGATCTGGCCAGCCCTGGTCTACATAGCAAGTGAGACCTGTCTTTTAAAAAAAATAAATAAATAGCTCAAATTGCACAAAATGAAATAAACTTGAGTAGGTGATAAGGAAAACTGGCCATTTTCTTCATCTCTCAATGGGACTTCTTGCCGGAAAGGGGAAGGCTGTTGTCTTCTGTCTGCTGGCCCTGTTGTAATAAATGATGGAGCCCTGTTACAGAACCCATGGCAGCTTCCTAATGCCCTTCAGCCCATCACATATACAGACTCTGGGTGTTTCCCAGTGTCTCAACCCTGTGACCAGTGTTAGGACTCTATGGTGGATGTTAGGACTCATTAATATTTCCACCCTCAAGATCGTAAATCTCAAGGCAGGTCTCCCATATTCCAGGCCCTATGGTAGCTGCTATCTTCCTTGACTCCCAGGTTGAAGGTTGGGCCCCCGCCCCTGCATCCTTATGCTTATCAGATAATATTATTACATTGTGATAGTAACAATCTGTGGTCTGACCAGAGAATCCCAGTCTCCCTTCTCCCTTCTGCCCTTAGGTGAACCCTGCCCCCACCCTAGGCTGTCCAGGCAGGAATAAAACCCATCCCATTCCTGAAGGAGAGGGAGGGCTTTGCTCTTAGGCCTTAGGAAGCATTGTGCAAATGGTATTTTCAGTGATTCCCTCTTTGGGCTTTCAGACTTCAGCACCAAGCCCTCCCCATGGACAGACTTGCCTG